GGGAAAGAGGAGAGAAGGTAACAGAAGGAAGAAGAAACAAAGACAAATGATTGCATGGGTATTTCTAATTTACAGTCAGTTTTTTTTAGCCATAACAATGGGTGAAAAATACAGCTTTGAGATGACATTAAAACTCCATGTGAATATGTGCCATATATGTAAGTAACTTCTTTGTTTTGTTTCTGAATTCTGCTAGGACGCCTGTGGGTAGAGGAAGAGCCTGGCTTCGTCTGGCCTTAATGCAGAAGAAGCTTTCTGAATACATGAAAGCCTTAATTAACAGAAAGGATCTTCTCAGGTGAGCAGTGCCTGCTCTCTTGAATTCGAGAGCTTACTTTAACTCAGTGTTCCCTGGTGAGGTACGTCCATGGCTCTCAAATGGAATTCATTTATTATTTTGCAATTGTGACATCACAGCAGTACTGTTACCTCTGTTTGAGAACAGCTTTGGTGAAATCCAGAGCTAGTTTCTGGGTTCTCAGATTTTCTGCTTTTTATTTGAAAGTTGTTGTCTTCCACTTTTAAATAGAAAGAAAAGTGTGAAGCAGAATCAACTATTGCGTATTATTTAGGTAATGAGAGGTAAGATGCTTGTATTTGCATAAAAAGGAGGGAGTGTTGTCCTCCAGGTGCTAGGGCACAGGAGTAGAAATAAAGCACGCTTGGATTTTCTTCTGACCGTCATTTACCTGCTATTTAATCTTGGGTGAGTTGCTTTCACACTTCCATTTTTCTCTGTCCATAAAGTGGGAATAATAATGACTCACTTCTGAAAAATGTGTTGCCAGTTTTGGGTGAAAAGTGCAATGTGAATGCTTAGTAACAGTATGTGATAATTGGGGTGATGTTTTTATTTGTTATATACGTTTTTAGGTTTTCAGTGAGTGATACTTTTTTCAGTTTCCTCAATTGTATTGAGTGGTGAGGAAGCTTAAAATTGCCATTTGGCAAACATGGGGGTGATCTTGTTTGAGTGAAGCTTATAAAATAGAATAGAATTAGGAGGTGCAAAATGCTTAGTTTTAATATTAATCTTGTGAACAAGTCTCTACCTGTATGTTAAAATGATTTTCAAGTGGTATTAGAGTAGCCAAAGCTAGAACATAGGAAGAGTTTACAGCAGTTTGATATGTACCTATGGAACTTATTGAGTTCCTTCCATATGGAGCCCTCGTCTCACATTAATGTCTTTCAGTGAATTTTATGAGCCTAATGCACTCATGATGGAAGAAGAAGGTGCCATAATTGCTGGCCTCTTAGTGGGGTTAAATGTCATTGATGCAAACTTCTGCATGAAAGGAGAAGACCTGGATTCACAGGTACTGAAGAGCTGATGAATATTCATTCCTGGGATGAATTCTCATGCACTTAATTTCTGCTGGTGTTCGATTTGATGGGTTTTTAATTACAGTCATTGGCTAATTAAGGATCATTCTGTAAACTTGCTGTTATGATTATGTTCCTTATTTTGATTTTTTTTTTTTTTTTTTTTGGTTTGTTCCTTTGTATAGTTGGCTGAAAATGCTGCCAAAATGTGGGATTTTTGTTGTTGATGATGACGATTACTATTGTTGTTGTTGTTGTTACTACTATTACTACTAGGATTTCAGTAGCTTCCTCTTGAGATTTACCAGTGGCAGTGGATCTTTTATACTTGGCTTGGTCATGTAGATGTAACATCCCTTGCAGAAAACTGCTGCCAGAGCACTTTCCACTGCTATCTCTTTGTACTGCAGTGATCCCCCGCCCTACTATCCTCTCTGGGTATAGGAAGGAGACAGCTGAAGAGGAGGGAGATGCTGCTTCTGTAGCTCTGGCTTGAGATGTTGTTTTTTGTGTTTGTTTTTCCTAGAAGTGTGTGTGCTTGTGTATGTATTAACTAAAGGGAAGTAAGTTAATGGGCACTTCTGTTACACTAGCCATGAGAGCTGTACGTACAAGTGTGTTGGTTAGAATCTTCTATTTTTTCCCTTCTTTCAACACTATAAGGTTGCTGATTTTTCACTTGAACTCATCCTCATTTTAATCAGTTTAGTATAGTGGATTTATTTTAGATTATAAATTGGAAGAAAATGCATTGCGCTCAAATACGCAATGTCTTAAATATACAACACCAAATTTGTATTATGGTAAGAACACTCTTATTTTACACATGATTCTAACCTCTTCCTAAATATACTAAATTCTTCCCTTGTAGGTTGGCGTTATTGATTTTTCCATGTACTTGAAGGATGGGAACAGCACAAAGGGCAATGAGGGGTAAGTACAAGGGCAAGTGCATGTGCTTTTTTTCCCTTGGGTTATTTTTGTTTTTTAGTAGAATTTTAAGTTACCCCATAATCCATCCTGCATTTTTAACAAAAACAATACAGTTTTCTTGACTTTTGCTTCAATTCTGGTTACAATATACAACTAAGAAGCTAAAGACCAGAAGAAGAGGAAAGATTCTGCAAAACCTGTGCTGCTTTGTGCTTTTATTGATGTAACTAGAAATTAACACGGGGAGAATGTGTTTTTGTTTGTTTATTTGTTTTTTTTATAAAACAAACGTTCTTTATCAGAAAGTTTCTCTGCAGCTCTCCTTCAGTTTAGGAACTGAGGCTGCTTGCAACCATTAAAAAAAAAAAAAAAAACCAAACAAAAAAATAATGCTTTACCAAAAGAAGCAGCATGTTACTTTAACCTGGCTCTGCAGCCTGTGTAAAGATCAGACGCTTCAGCGGGGCTTTTTGGTTGCTGTTAACTAAAGTTTATTCAATCAGCTATTAGTTAAAAGTGCCAAAAAAGCTCCACAAAAGTGCCCAGTCTTTACAGACATTGGGCAAACCAGGTTGAAGTAATGTGCTGCCTCTTTGGGGTATGCACAGGGCTTGGCATGGGAAAGCACTGAGTTTAAAGTAAAGTGCTGTTTTTTTATGTCTGCAAGCACCCTGGGTTTTTGTGTACTTTTTTTTAATGGTTCTGCAACCAGCAGGGATAGGTGCTCAGCCTCCAATATCAGTACGTGATCCATGTTGAATACTGTATTTACCAGAGTTCCCCCCGCTCCCCCTTGTACCTGCCCTCTGCAGGCTTGGGCCTTTACCACTTCTGCCCCCCACTCAGTCTCAGGGCTCCTCCCCTCCCCTCCCCTCCCCTCCCTGCTTACCTTGCTCCAGTGCTGGCAGATTCCTATATCTGTGCTGCAGCCTGGGGCCCAGAGTGTGGTCCCAGTGCAGTCCCATAGCAGCAGCGCAATGTCTGTACTGCTGTGCTCTGTGCCACAGATAGGAGCAGGGATGGAGCATGCTGGCATAGAGCAAGGGTAAAAGTGGGGGTGGGGGGTGGGTGGCAGGTGGGGGCCTGAGGCTGTAGGGAGGGAAGTGGGGGTGGGTCAACTTTTTTCAAATATTTTTTTCTTGTATTTCTCACTCTTCAAAATTATTATTTTTAATGTTTCATGCCAGAAATTGATGGCATCAAAGTTCTGTTTACAACTTTCATTGGGAAGGTCCTGGTGACATGACTGTTTTGTTAAGCAGCCCTAATGCTCGTTTATTTTAATTTTTTTGTGCTAATTGATATATTGTCTTCATTTTTTTTTCCCCCCAGCAAATCTTGTAATGGAGATTTACCAACCTTTGTTCAGCTGAATGTTGCATTGGCAACTTGTCAGAAGTCAAAGGGCTGTAACTAATTTTGCAGAAAGGCATAGCTTGTAACTGCCCTTCATTTTTTTTAAATATGCCTATGCATCACAGGGAGTCTTCTGGACCCATTGAAATTCTCCTACTGTGGTTCAAATGGTTTTCTACTTGGCTTAAATGAACCTTAGATCATAGGATCAAGGGTTGCAAGAAACCTCAAAGATCTGATTGCCCCACCTGCATGAATAGAAAAATCATGCTTCTAAGTTACCCTGTCCAATGCTTATACAGCTTCTTTTTGAAAACCTTCAATGAACTTTCCCTGCAGCTTCTTTGGGTAGTCTATTTCATTGCCTCACTGTTCTAAAAGTAAAGAGGTTTGTCCTGATACCTAATCTAAATCTATTTTGTTGCAGTTTAAAGCCATTGCTTCATATCTTGTCTTCTACAGCATGGGAGAACTGACCAAGATAGAAATGTCTAGTGGCCTATTAGGGCTGTCCTACTGAGATTTCACATAAAGCTTTAAAGATCACTATCCTTGTGCTTATGATGTGAAGGGGCGGGTTGGGAGCAACTTGTGGTTCAACGTAGGCAAGATGTCACTTCACTTTCTTATGTTCTCTCTTCTGATGAAGTCCCCTCAGCATGGGACCACAACTACTCTGGGCTGTATGTTAGGAGTCCCTGCTTTCAGAGACAACGTAAGCAGTTGGGGAAGGGGGGTCATTCTCATTAGGGAAAGGCTGGATGGGGTCAGCCTGTCTCTTGCTAGTAGTCCAATGCTATCAGGTCCTCCATTCCGTATACAACCCTCAGGGAAATAACGTAGCTGATGAGTGTTCAGGTAATTAAAGAATGAGCTGGTCCAGGGCTAATTTTTCTATTGCCATGAAGCTGAGAGAGGTTGAAAGAAATGCATTTGAGGAACCTCTGACTCTTTGTTCCGTTTCCAGAGATGGTCAAATTACTGCTATTTTGGATCAGAAAAATTATGTAGAAGAACTCAACAGACACTTAAGGTAACACATTCTTTTCTGTTATGCTGTCATCTAAAAGAAATACAAAGTGATTGGTTTCTTTCAATATAATTACAGTAGTTTTTTCTCTTTGATTTGACAGTGCTACTGTGAACAATCTGCAGGCAAAGGTTGATGCTTTAGAAAAATCTAACACTAAACTAACTGAAGAGGTAGGTGTCACAGGCAAGGACATTTTGTCATTGTCTTGTGGAGCCTGTAATTAAAGCAGAGGTGATGTCTCCTGAATGCGAGTTGTACTGTGTAATAAACTGGGAATCTGAAACAGGTATAAAGTGTGCTGACAGCTTTTACTGACTCAACAACGGGGACAATCAGCAATTGCATGAATTAAAACAATTGCCTGCCCTTCTGCCCCCTCCCTTCAGCCTGCCCGAAGGCTGAGAAAGGGGCATAACTAGGGGACTCCAGCCCCTGCTCCCAGCTCGGGGGGTGGAGCCAAGTCCTGCTGCAGGCTCCCTGCCCCACCCCCATATCCTTGCTCATCCTGCACCCTTGCTCATCCTGCAGGGAAGCTGAGGAGGGGGCATGGTTTGGGGAATCAGAGGGTTCTAGCTCACTGCAGGAACTAGCAGGCTGGGAGGCTTGCTGTAGTGCCCCCTGGCTATTAGTATGGGCACTGCCCAGGTCTGGCTGCCTTTCCTGTTTGAAAAGTGAATGTCATTTCACTTGCTTATTGGTTCTATCTATGCAGTTTTAAAAAGCCTGCAAAGATTGCATCAATTCAGCCTCGGGCTTTTGACTGTCTGTACTTTGTCGGGATGCATTGATCTGATTGTGTAGTCACAGATTCTGTATGGCTTTGTAAATCCCAGAGAGCTAAGAATTAGAAGGAAAACTTTTAAAGGGCTTCATTCTGTTTAAAAACTTGCTTTATTCAACTTTTTCCATTAGTTTTTCTTAAGGTAGTCAACAATTGAAAATGGTAATTGAAATGTAATCTTTACATTTTCTTTGGTTGCTCACAGTCTAGTCAGTACACAGAAATAATCTGGAAAAATACAGTAATGGCCTTTTATGTGTTGCTCATTTATATTGCATCAAAAGGGGTGTATACATCTGCATACTGAATAGTGTTTTAATGGATATGTTCCAGTTATAAAGAGCTCTGGAATCTCTCCTGTGGCATACATGAATCTTCACTAATGAAACTATCTGCTCGTAAAGTTAAGGAAGAAAAGGTCTATTGTGCAAATAAAAACAAAGTACTTGATATTAAAAAAGCAATATGGATTATACAGACCTTTTTTCCGATTATGCTGTAGCAAATGGTCTCTCATTTACAGCCTGAAAGATATGAATGTTGTACTAAGCAAACATGACCCCTGTCAAATTTAATTTTAGTGCCAAAGTGTGTGTAAAGGTGTTTGTTTATTTGTTACTCAGTAAAATCTCCATACTGTTTAAGGGTATCATTTATCTGATGTTGAAACATGCTGCCCTCCAAAGCTATCATCAGAGCTTAGCCACTTAATTGTGTCACATGTCACTTCATTGCATGGTTGCCAGGGCACTCTTTATTCAGTTTTTGAGGGAAGAATTTTTGTAGGTGGTAACCAGCTGCATGGTTGGGCTAGATTTACACATATTGCAGTCAAAAGCTTGTCTAAGTTTATCCCAACCATGCAGCTGATCCAGTAAAAGATATCACCCACAAAAATCCTTGCCTTTCACACATTTCCCAGACCATTATGGATACATCTCCACTTTAAAACCACTTTTATCCAGTTGTGACACTTAATGAAGTTGCTCAACGAGTATCACAGAAATGTCGCTGGCTTTTTCTGTAGTGTAAAGGAAGTCATCTAAGACTTGAGTTATGTTGTCTTGTGAAAGAACTATACCCAGTTATTTTTGGCCTATTGCATTAAAATCTGAGTAACTGGTTGGTCAAAGGTGATGTATTTTTCCTAAGAGTTCCAATAGAGATTGGCTCAGAGAATCCCTGGCCCATAGAATCCTGTGTGTTGTCCAGGAGTAAATAGTCAAGCTCTCTCTGATCTGCCCATCCTGTGAGCGCCGGCCACTTCTGGGGCTCCTCCCACCCCCTGTTGGTGAGATTGGGGGGGGACCCTGCAGCCAGTCGCTGCTGGTCTCTGGGGGGGGGCCACGTACTGCCCCACTGACCTAAGGTGGCACCAGTTGCCCATGGCCTCCCTTGTTTGTGTGTTTATCACTCGAGTCCAAAGAATGTAGTTGGGATTCAGTTGACATATTTCTTTCCATTTAAGAGCTTGTATTCCAGCACTGCATACACAGCTCCATTAAAAGAACTTCCTGCAGAGGGACCAAAGGGTCACTGGTAATAGATTCAGGTGGTTTGTGACCAGATATAGTTACTGAGTAGCTTATTGACCTACTTGAAATGAATTGGTAGGCCTCCATTTTAGCTCATAATGAACAAGTAGGTGTGAAGGCTGAACTCTTGTTATAAGCAGTACTTTTTGTTTGTTATTTAGTGACTTTAGCAGTCAATGTTTCAAAGGTTAAGTGCTGCCTAGAGAAGAAATACAGCAAGACCTATTTTTGATGTTAAATTGTGATTATCTTTCTTTGTTCACAGCTTGCAGTTGCAAACAATAGGATTATAACACTGCAGGAAGAGATGGAACGAGTTAAAGAAGAAAGCTCTTACATTTTAGAATCCAATCGCAAGGTGTCTGTGTGTCTATGTGTCTCTGTGTGCATAACTTCCCCCAGTGATGCTCTTGCTATATAATCCTATCTTTTACTGGACAATACAGTGAGCTGTTCCAGAATTATTTCTTCATAACCATAAAAGAAGATATTGGTATCTACTCTGGAGTGTGCTTTTAGGTTTTAATGTTAAATGTGCTTAATCAAATTAGTTCATACTTAAAAAGTTTACTGTATATAGTCTGAGAATAGCTACACTGATGTACAGGCTGCTTTAAATACTTTTTTCCTGTGCCCACACAAGTTATTTTCACAAGGAATTTGCATGCTGCATTAACTTAGGAAAGACAATACATTTAACAACATTTTCAACTGTGAAATTTGTTTTAAGAAAGTAGAAGTAAATAACAAACACCAAGATTGCGAGAGTTTGATTTCCTTCTGCTTTGATCTTTTTGCTAACTCTAGGTAACTAAGCAAGACAGAACTACAGATGGACATGCACTGAGTGAAGCACGCAAACAATTGAAGGAAGAGACTCAACTACGGCTGGTAAGCTTGGTCTAAACTCAAAGTTCAGAACAGTGTTGATTTTCTTTAGTAGTCATTATATAATAATCAGCTTTTAAGGGTGGCATGTTATATGGATCAAGACTTGCCGAGACTGATGATATTGCAGAATGCTTTATTTAAGCCCACTTCTAAAAATACTCTTTCAGAAGTGATTGTCCTACTCTTCGAGCACATTGCTGACTAGGCATGAGCTCAGTTTCCATATCTGTATTTTACAAATGTTAACCAATTAATATCCTTGCATCCAATATGCATACCCATCAAAACTTTTGCTTACCATAGGTATAGGGCACTGATGTAGGTTCTGACTGGGATAGTCTTGTTCTAGTTAGGCTGCTGCAATAGTGGGTCTCTTTTTTTTAAACTGGTTTGATCATAACAACAAAGTATTCTTCTTGCAGCATGTTTCATGTGATTAGTGTGCATTGGTAATAGTAGGACTTAATGGAGTGCACAGCATGGAAGGGCCATCATGTATTAAGTGAACCATGTTGCAGTCATTAGACTTTCTATAAAATACAGGTATCAAATATATTTGGTTTTAGGATGTGGAAAAAGAGTTGGAGGTGCAGATTGGAATGCGACAGGAGATGGAGCTGGCCATGAAGATGCTGGAAAAAGATGTTTGTGAGAAGCAGGATGCACTAGTAGCACTCAGGCAGCAACTAGATGATCTCAGGGCCCTAAAACATGAGCTTTCCTTCAAGCTGCAGGTAAGGAAAGGTCAGGATTATGGTCCCTTTGTGAAAATGATGCCTCTGAGTGTCAATTTTGCTTTCTTTTTCTTATCAGAGAGATGAAACGGGAGACTACATGTTAATTTCTGTCCTTGCTTTCCCCATTTCATAACTTCTCCCTCTATCCCTGTTTTTTTCCCATTTGATACTGCTTATCTTCAGGCTGTATCAAAGCTAGCCTTCCCAAGCAGGGAAGGCTACCATATGTTCTTGATGCCAAGACAAGGTTCCCCCCTTTCTCCGATGTAATGTGGAAGGAGAAAAAAGCCTCTAGTCTTGAAATAGTGAGGCAGCCTTCCCCACCTCTCCCCCCCAGCCCACCCCACCTGCTCATCCCCCACACCTCAGTCACTTACCATTGCTCTGTTGCTCTCAGGATCTGTCTTGCTCCCAGACCCAGACCAGCCAAATGGCAGTAGCAGCTCTAGCTAGGCCTCAAGCCACACCACTGCTACTGGGCTGGGTTGAGGTTGTGCTTTGCGCCCCAGACTGGAGCAGGGATGGAGCCTGCCAGTGTGAAGCAGGGGTAAATGGCCAGCGGGGGTAACAGAGATGCAGGGAAAGGCAGGGGCAGGCAGCAAGGGGGGATGTGAGGTTGGGGGCAGACTGCTTGACCTTCTCCTTGTTCCCCCCTTGTGTTGCCTGCCCCCTGCCACTGTCTTCTCTGCTGCAGTATTGGGGG